CCTCCTCTTCAGCTCCCTCTTCCTCTCCTGCCCGCACCGCACACTTTGTCAAGACGAGTGCGCTAGCTTCTGCTGTAGCTTCTTCTGCTGCGGCAGCAGCAGCTAAAGCGCGTCCGCGCTCCGCCAGCAGCAGCAGCAGCAGCAGCAGCAGCAAGTTACGAGGCACTGCTACTATTGCTCCTGCTGCCATTCCTGCTGCAGCTGCAGCTGCAGCTGCCTTACGTGCTGCTCCTGCTGTTACTGCTGCTATTGCTTCTGCAGCTGATGCTGACCAAAGGGCCATTACCGTCGCCGCTGTTAGTGCTACCGCCGTCGCTACTGTTGCTCTTGCAGCTGACGCTGCAAGTTCTACAAGTGCTGCAAGTGCTACAGCCGTCGCTGCTGTTGCTCTTGCAGCTGACGCTTTAAGTTCTACAAGTGCTGCAAGTGCTACAGCCGTCGCTGCTGTTGCTCTTGCAGCTGACGCTTTAAGTTCTACAAGTGCTACAAGTGCTACAGCCGCGGTGGTGCTGCCGCTGCGGTACATTGCCAATCCTGCCTTCCCAACCGTCGAAACCGAACTCTCGTCCGTCGAGCACGCCGTCGACTCGCGCACAAACTCACGCGTCGTGCTCAAACGCCTCAACAGCCCAGAAACAGCCGCCCACGAGCTGTGCATCCTCGAACGCATCACTGCCGCCCGGCTGCCGCACGCGCTGGCGCTTTGCGACACGTTTCTGGACCACACCACTGGCGAGCGCGTCCTCGTCTTTCCCGAACTCGAGCAGCTGCGAGACGGCTTGGATCTAATCCACGTGCGCGATCTCGTCCGCCAACTCGCAACAGGCTTGGCCGCCGCGCATGCCGCCGGCATAGCCCACCTCGACGTCACGCGCTGCAACCTGATGCTCGACCCGCAAAAACCACATGGCGAAAACCTCGTCATTATCGATTGGGGACTGGCTCGTGTATGCTCGAAACGCGATCCGCATCCGGTTGGCCGCGGAACGCCCGGATACATTGCGCCCGAAATGTACAGCGAGGACGGCGCAACAGACACGCAGCCTGATGTCTATTCCGCGGGCGTTATCCTCGGCCAGTGGCTGGAGCCATACCTCCCTGAAGAATGCTCGCTGTCGTATCTCGGCTCGCGGCTCGTGCGGCCGTCGACCACGACGTTTATGGTGCGCAAGATCCAGGAACTGCTCGACGACGACGACGGCACGGGTGGTTGGAGACCGATCCTGCGACACGCCGCAACGCTGCTCATCGCCATGCTGGAACCCGACCCAGCAGTGCGCATCACTGCAGCGCAGATCCTCGAGCACCCGTTTGTGACGGCTACCGACGATGCGTTTGCAGGCACCACGTATGCCGACTTTGCGCAGAGCGTGCGTGATGCGCGGTGTGGGTGTGCGCCCCGGCGAGGGTCTAGTGGCGACAAGATTGTCGTTCGCTATCGCTGATCGACGACACTAGTGGCGACAAGATTGTTCGTTCGCTATCGACCAATTTGCCCTGCTTTATTATTTTTTTTCTCTCTCTCTCTCTCTCTCCCCGTTTTGGTAAAAAATTGTAAATAGCCTTCGACGTTTTTTTTTTTTTTACTTTTTCCGCACCTTTTCACACTTTGTTTGCTCGAAATATTATATATCATCTGGAAAAAAAAGAAAAACAAAACGAAAGAAAGAATGAAGGGAAAGCGAAAGAGCGAAGGGATCGGTCTGAGGGAGAAGGGACGGCGGGGAAGGCGTACTGTGTAAGTGTGTATATATATATATGTCAACCAGTGAACTTTGGTCGCGTGCCCGAGCGAGCGAATAATAAATCCAACAAACGCGTGACTAACAAACGCGCGTGACCCGACCGACCGACCGACTGGACCGACCGACCAGCAGTGTATACACTCTTGCAGCAGCGGGCGAGTGAGTCACTTACTGAGCCCAAGGCAGACGCAACTCCCCTCAAGTGAGAATCTCGACATTCCCACGGCGGTTCCTCCCTTTCCGCACATAGATGAGTCTGCTGCCAAGTTGGCGGCGACAGCAGGCATGTAGATGAAAGGGGCGAGGCGGGGCACCCGGGTGGGGCGAGAGTTTTATGGCTGAGAAATGGGCGAAATGGGCTGTCGACAGCTCTCTTTTGCATCTTAAATGCGGAATACATAGCCAATAATGGGAAAGCGGTTACGGTAAACAAACTCTCGGACTGTTTCTGTTTCGGCCGCCGTTGTGGGGAAATCAGAGCGACCTGTGACCGAGAACTGCATAGCGTGTTCACGGTCCGCGTGCATAGCCGCTCTGTCTGTCACGGTGAAAAAGGCTGCCGTGGGCACCATGAGAACGAGGAAGGTCTTGAATGGCATTGACAGACTCCGTGCTGTACCTGGGCGACCATGACCGTCTCGTGGCAGCGATGGAGGCGCTGTTTGCTGACTATCCGCCTAAACCGCCCAATACGGATGGACGCCATCTCAAGTTTGAAGGACAGCCGGAAAGACATGGCGGCCTCCACTTCGGCTTCTGGATACCGCAGGGTGCTAAGGATCCATGCATATCTGTGGAGACGTGTGGCGGCGGCAGCAAAAAGCCGATTTCCGGCGCCAATACCGGATCCAGGTTGAGGAGCGCGCAATTGCGCAACTGCGCGAGTTCTACGCAATGACGCAGGAGGAAGGCAGCGGCGAGTTTGTCGAGATTGAAAGGGAGCCGATAGTTCGGGGGCGTGCATAAAGTTGTGTATTCTGTACTGTATCTTGCCAAAATATAATAGAAGCTCGACTGCATAACCCATCAACATTCCTTAAAACACCCAGTTCCGAGCTTTCAGAACTTTCGTCACTTCCTTCGGCGTCGGATTCTCCCCCTCCAAAAGAGTCGTCTCAGCCCACCACCTGTAGAGGTTTTTGCAGGTGAAGAATACAGCAGAGTTGCGAGTGCCCGTGTACTTCAGATTGAAGTGTGTCAGCAACGCAGAGCGGAAGATGACAATGTGGCCTTGCTTAAAAGGCAGGATGATCCCTGCCTCCTTAAAAGCTAAATCTCCTCCTTCAAAGGCCCCCCAACATACCACGAGGCACAACCCTTGCGGCGCATCCCCAACATCCTTGTGTGCAAAGCATTGCACACCAAAGTTGAGCCCAAAGCCGGGAAAGATGCCAGCAAGGAATCGATGTCCAACAGGCCGCAACGACGCTGCCACTGCCATTTGCAGGTCGTAGAATGGTTTAAAATGCGTCTTGACGATGTTTCCAAGACAAAAGAAAAATTCCTCATTTTCCGTCAAAAACGTCTGTAGTGTTCAGAATTGTGAGTACACATGATGGTAAAAAAAGGTGCGTTGATAAGGGTTTGCTTACCTCCACGGTCGGCGTCGGACATGTTGCCAAGAATGTGTTTTTCTCACATGCATCTGCCGAAATAAAGGGAGCAGATTTCCACTACCCCAAAGGAAAAGAAAATTCTCATCATTAGCCTGCCGCCATCACAGAACCTCATTAACGAGGGCAGTCTCGCCCCGCCCCGCCCGCCGTCATCATCATGGAGCAGACGCCCCCCGGCTTTTACGTCGTCGATGTGCGCACGCTCAAGCAGCCTGCCGGAAACCCGTTCCACCTCGACGCCCGCATCAAAGGCCGCAGCACCACCCCAGGCTCAACCTGCGTGCGCCGAGGCCATTGCCCACAAAGTCTTTACCTTTTGGTGGCGTTTAGCCCACACACAAATGTGGGCAACCTCAAAGCGGCCACGGACGCCGGTCGTTTTATGTGTTTTGATTTGCTGGCGTAAAGCCTCAGCCCTTAAGCCGAAACTCGCTATGAGTGTGGCCAATGGATCTTGAAAAAAATAATGCAGTTGTGTAAGTTTACTAGATATGAAATATACCATTCCTCAACGTGGATGATAATCACGTACCATCTTTGTTTTTGTAGGGGATGCGCAAAGCGAGCACATACTTGCGGCCGTCAGGCATCGTGGAATAGACCGTAACATGCTTGTTGATGTCATCAATGTGTGTATACGATGAGGTGTCAATCAGATCGACGGAAAGTCCCTTTCCTTGTGGCTGCCGTCCATTGGCACTTCGGACGATGATATCCGTAGATGTTGCGGATTCTACCATCACCGCTGGCACGTTGAAAAGAAAAAAAATAAGCAATCTATATCAGAGGTCGGATATAATGCCACACATGCGGGACTTACCATTTTGCGCTGCCTTTACATGGTTGTTGGCCAGCTTCTGGTATTTCTTTCTTGCTTGCCTTGCGTTAAGGTTAGCTCGTCTTGCTTGTTTTTTCGCCTTCCACGACCCACCTGGTTGCGCAACAACAAAGGCTTGCTTGTGGGTGGGCGCCGAATTTCGGATGCCGGCTTGTGTGGGGGTGGGCGCTGCGTTCCGAATGCCGGCTTGATCTTCGTCCTCATCCGTTTCCACCTCATTGGGGGGCTCTACATCCCACAGCGCATGTGCTTCATCAATTGCGCAAGAGATGGAGTGATGGTCAAGGATGAATTCGACCGGCTTTTCGCTCGACATAGCCAAAGGGTGGTAGGATGAAATGTAAGAGTACTGGTAGTGTGCGTCACCGCAGACGGGGCGAAGGGAAGCAATGGCAAACGATGTCTTACCGAAAGACGTAGCCAAAATACAAAAACTCGAATATCTCCGCCGCAAAAAATGCGTAGGCCTCAACTGGCACTGATTCTGAACCGCAAAAGCTTGCTCTATGGAATCGCAGTGTTAGGTTGTTGTTTGACGGTCGTGGGGGGACGCAATGGCAAGAGATGCTTTACCTGGTGCATATCTCGGTCCCCAGGGAAGCGTTCGCCTCAACTGCCGGTGTTTCCGAATCGCAAAAATGTGCTCTATGGAAGCGCTGCATCAGTTTGTTGTTTGACGGTGGCGGGGACAAGCAATGGCAAAGGCAAGGGACGCCGCTTCGTAGCTTTTTGTGTGACTTAAATGGTGAGCCGCAAGTGCATGGCTTGCTACAGCATTAAATATCTTGGCCTGGTATAAATGCATCGGTGGCGCAATGGCCACAGCGCCGCTTCCCAAGCGGCGGTCCCGGGTTCGATCCCCGGGCGACGCAGCAGCACATTCATGTTTTTCCAAGCACGCATTTAAGCTAACTGCTAGCGGCAGCCGGCTTGTGTTTCTGCTTGGAAAGCGCGCGCCTCCTATTGTCCATTGCCCCGTTTGTTCAATGTCTAAGACAGGCCCCGATCCAGGCCCCGAGTCAAGCTCACGACCCGTTTTAGTATTGTTCGACTTCTCTTTCACTTTTTTCCTATAAACCGCACGCCTGTGCCTTCGCCCTTCCTGTACCGTTTTTGGTCCGGACGGACAAGTGACGACAGAGAGACGCTCCAGCAGCGCACCGCCCCTCTTCTCTTCTTGACCCCTTCCGCACCACATTTTCATTATCCTATTAAGGCGGGGCGTTGGTGCCCTCGACTAGTACTCTCATGGCGGCCGCTGGCCCGACAACCAAGCGAAAGAGGACATCAGGTATAAGAGCAATGGGCGGCAGTTGCATGCTATAGACAAAAGGGCTAACACTCTATATTATTACAGACTCGGACTCGGATTCTGGGCATACTCCACCGCCCCCCCCTCGGCCGCCCGGTCCACCGCCCTTACCTGCAAGACCTCCACCTTTTTTTCAACAACCATCTTTCCGAAGGCTTCGTCGTCTGGGAACAGCCCGCCTCCAGCGACGCCTGCAAGCAGGAGGCGATAGCGGAGGTTCTGATGATGACTACGACTCGTCTTCAAGCTCTTCATCAAGTTCGGACGGTGGAGGTTCTCCCTCTCTTGGCCCAGCACAAAGACGAAGCCGTCGTCCTCGAAAGAAACCAGTGGCCACCGACTTTGTCACAAACAAGGGCAATCTTGATAGCATGTGGAGTGGCACCGCTGCCCAACTTGGAAACCTCAAAAAGTTCATTGCTGATATGGATTATCTCACTCGCCATGCAACTTGGTTCTTCAAATACCATATGCTGCATCCTCGGGGGACACCGGATGAAGCGGAGATTCCCCATGCTGATTTCTTTCGAACTTTACTTCGTTTGATGAACAATTTTGGTGGAAAAAATGAATACTCTCCCTCTAATGAAAAATTTAAGGACATTGTGGACGAGTAAGTTTCCTTCTTTTTACAAACTTAATTGAAGTTATTTGAACTAACAATATTGTACGACCACTTTCAGACTCACTCCACAGTTAGTTCGCTATCAAGATATTGCTGATTTTTGGCCCCCGGAGATTCCAGCTGCACAGGCCGCCAATGCCATCAACTATGCAGCAGCTATGATGCTCACCAACGTAACGGTCGCTGTCAAAATGAATCTTGCTAAACGAATTCAGGAATATGTCGGAGTGATGATGCGAGCAAGACGGTCTGAGCTTATGATCAAATGCCTTCATCGGAAGGATACCCCGGCGGGTCTCAAAGCAGCAATAAGACGTTTCCGTGCAAAAGTTCGATTGATCGAAAAGTTGGCTGTTGATCCCGAGCAAGCCCTCGATGACCCTATGTACTTTCACGGAAACCTGAGCAGCGTCGACATTGCTATTCTCGAATCAGTGTGGGAGATTTTACCGGAACGAGCATTTCACCTGCTAATGCAGGACAGCCATATGGTTTACGATATCGAACTACATCCGGAGCTTTATTTTGAGAGTTATGTAAAACTCGGAATGATGATGGATGCTGCAAGACTTCGCGGCTTAGATGCTCGATCATTCAATGCTGTACCCCTCCGTACTCACTATTATCAGTCCTATGTCACCATTGACACCGTGACACTATCACAATCAATTTTATGCCACGGCAGACCCAAAATCCCAAATCAAGCTACCAAAATGAATATATGGCGTCAGTGCTTTAACCTAAATCATTCCAGCTTTCATCCGTAAGTGTGCTCTCATTTATTTGTCTTCATTCTATATTAGCGATAATCTCACAATTTCGTTTTTTGACAAATTTATAGTCGTGGAAAACAGCCGAACTACACCCACACTTTTCAAGGTACCATTGAAACCGATGGTTTTGGTGTTTCTGTGAGGTTGGCAAATACAAAAGGAGTACAAGCAGCGGGGCGATCACGACCAGGAAAGAAGATCACTAAGGCACATGTGAAACGCAAGCTCGCGCGCGCTTACATTGACTACCGGCAAAACCTCGAACATGTTAGAGCTTGCCTTGCACCAACAAGCAAGCGCAACATAATTCTGATTGACCCCAACAAGCGGGACATGCTTTATATGATGGAAATGGCAAAGCCACCTTTGGATGGCGGTCCATTTGTCTCTCCCGGTCCAACAATGCCACGAACAATGCGATATACCAGCAACAATCGCAGATTCGACACTCACAGTAGGGCGAGACAACGTTATTCTCAACAGCTGCGCAACACTACAACAATCTCAATGTCGCCTGGATATAATGGACCCGAAACTCCAATTTCTGTGATTGAGGCTAATATGCCCAGTTGCAAGACCAGTCGCCTTGATGAGTTTGTTCAGTGGCTTCAAGCGCAAGCATTTTATGCTGTAGATCTCATTGGCTTTTACTCAAATCGTAAGTGAATTTTGTCACGGTGATGGTGGCCTATATTGCATATGGATGACTTGAATTTTAATTCAATTTTTTCTTTCTAATTTTTAGCAATCTGGCTTGACATGAAGTTTGCGGGACATCGTAGACGGCAGCGCTCCGAAGACCTTCTCATCAAAAGAATGCGGGCCAAGTTTGGATATAAGCTGTTGGTCATAATGGGGGACTGGAGCGCAGCAACATCTGGACGACACATGCGATTTCACCCACCGAGCAAGGTGGCAGGATTCCGTACACTTTTTCAAAAGCACCATATTCCTTGCTATCTGCTTGATGAGTTTTGCACCTCGTCTTTTTGCCCAGACTGCCAAAGCAAACTGAAGAAAAATGTCTTGCCGAAAAGGCTTTCTCCACGGCCTTGGCGAGCACGACTGGGACAAATGGATGAAGTGCATGGCCTGGTAGGTCTTTTCAATATTTTTTTTCCATAAAGGTCTGCTATGTTTTTAACATTATTTTCTATATTATCCAGCTCGGATGCTCGTTTTGCGCTGATCCACAGTGGGCTCCAAACCCCAGATACCTGTGTCCGATGAGATACTGGAACCGTGATCTTGTCAGCGTAAAGAACTTCAACCACATTGTCCAGCA